TCCGCTTTCCTCACTAGCATTTACTACATTATCTAAAAGTGTCTGTAGATCTTGTATATTCTCTGCAATTAGTATAGTATCATCGGCATATCTGATATTGTTGATGGGTCTACCATTGACTTTTATTCCAATTGATACATTTTCGACTGATTTTTTAATTATTTCTTCCGAATATAGATTGAACAATAAGAGGGAGAGTATGCAACCTTGTATTGCGCCTCTTTTTATCTCTACTTCCTCCGAAAGTTCTCTGTCGACTCTGACTTTTGCTGTTTGGTTAAAGTAGAGATGAGTTATTATTCTTAAGTCTTTTTTGTCAATGTGTTTCTCTTTAAGTAACTGTATAAGAAGGTTGGGTCGGACCTTATCGAACGCCTTATTATAATCAATAAAACAAACGTTGGTTTACATCCCTACATCTTTGCATGAGGACGTTAAATCCAAATAATGCCTCTCGTGTACCCATGGCATTCCTAAATCTAAATTGGGTTTCAGTAATGTCTTGTTCCACTTTTCTGAAAATTCTTAAATGGATAATTTTTAAGACTATTTTTAGTGTGTGACTCATTAGACTAATTATACGGTGATCATTACATTTCCTTGCATTAGGCTTTTTTGGTAATGTAATAAATGTTGATTTGAGCCAATCTCTCGGAATAATACCCGTATTATATATAGTATTACATAAGTCTACTAATACATTGATCTGATCTTCTGATATTAATTTAATTACTTCAGTTGGAATTGTGTTAGGTCCCACAGTTTTATTAGATTTTGCCAGATTTATTGCATGTATTATTTCATTCTTAGTTATATTTGGACCTATATCATGTTCCTCGTAATCGTTCATGCTATCTTGTTGTGTCCTGTCGTCCTCAAACAATTCTTGGACGTATTCTCTCCATCTGTTTAGTTTGCTTTTTACATCAGATATCATTTTACCATTCGTATCAACCAGGGTGTTACTATTGTTGGACCGTCTTATACCTGCTAATTCTTTAATTTTTTTGTGCACTTCAAAACTATCATGATTTCTCTGGAGTTCTTCTATTTCTAAACATTTGTCGTTGTGCCACTTTTCTTTAGCTGCCCGTATTTTTATCCTGATCTCCTTGTGTGTGGCTTTGTATTCGTTTACATTTTTGTTTTTGTATGATCTTCTTTTGTCCATTAGTTGCTGGATCTTATCTGTCATCCATGAAGTCTTAGCTTTATTGATTTTGTGATTAGTCATCGTATTTTTAATTGGCATCATTGTGTTCTTAAATTTTTCCCATTTTTCGTTGGAATCTTCATTATCATTGATTATTGTTTTGCTTAACTCCTCGTTAATTTTCAACGTTAGTTCTCCTTTTGTATTCGGGTGTTTTAGCAGAGTGCTTATTTGTTGTGTCTTTTGTTATTTTTTTATTTTCTTTAAGTGGATTTCGAATTTTACAATTACTGCATTGTGGTCTGATGACACATCTGTTCCTGGATATGTCTTTGCCGATTTGATGGAGTTACGGAATCTCTTATCGATAAGGATATAATCTATCTGGTTTCTGATAATTTTTTCTTTGCTATCCTTAGGTGATTTCCATGTATATAATCTACGTGGTGGTAACTGAAAAAATGCATTTGTCGCTATCATTTCAAACTCCTGACAGAATTCCGTCAGTCTTTCCCCTCTTTCGTTCCTTATTCCTAGCCCAAATTCACCAATAATGTCTTGGAATTTACCTTTTCCTAATTTGGCATTAAAATCCCCCATTGTTATTATATCTCTATTATTGGTGCTTTCTAGTGCTTTTTTAATGTCATCGTAGAACTCTTCTATTTCATTTTCATCTTTATCTGCAGTAGGGACGTACACCTGTATGATATTAAGAGTTCTATGCGTTGTTTGGGCTGTGATCATTAACACTCTATTCGATATAGGAACAAAACAAGTTACAGCTTGGCAGAAATTGCGATCTTCTGCGAGAACTGGGACACTTCTGAAGAGCTTCAAATACGAAAAGGAGCAAGGCAGGGCTGCATTTTGTCCCCGCTACTATTAATCATCTATTCTGAGTTCGTTTTCAATAACGCAGTGGATAATGTCCAATGTGGTATAAAAATAAATGGCGTCAATATTAATAATTTGAGATATGCGGATGACACAGTGTTAATTGCAAGCAATTACGAAGAACTTCAACATCTAATTAATAGGATTACCACAACGTGTGCTGAATATGGCATTAAGCTGAACACCGCAAAGACAGAGGTGATGGTCGTCAGTAAAACGCCAATACAACTGGAAGTAGTAACAACTTATGGTGAACAACTAGAGAGAACAAACAGTATCACTTACATTGGTTGTAATCTAAATGAGAACTGGGACATGGGCAAAGAAATTAGAATACGGATAGAGAAGCCCAGAGCTGCATTTTTTAAGATGAAGAAACTATTATGTGGAAACGATATTACTTTAAGTCTGAAAATTAGATTTTGAGATATGTTCTCTACTCTTTTGTATGGTGTCAAAGGTTGGACTTTGACGAATACACTTCTCAAAAAACTGGAAGCCTTTGAAATCTGGGTATATCAGAGAATCCTACGAATAAGTTGAGTGGATAGAGTTCGTAACGAAGTTGTTTTGTATCCGATGTGAAAAGTTACGGAAGTCGTCAAAAAAGTTAAAAATCGCAAACTTGAACATTTTGGCCATGTTATGCGCCACCCAGAGAGATATGAGAGATATAATATACTCCATTTAATAATATAAGGCAAGATAGACAGAAGAAGAGGGCCAGGTGGAAGAAGAACGTCATGGCTTAGAAACCTGAGAAATTGGTTTAACAGATCCTATGCATCTCTTTTCCGAGCTGCCGTCAACAAAATTACTATAGCCAATTTGATAGCCAACGCTCGATAATCGAGCTCGGCACATGAAGAAGAAGAAAAAGCTCTGGAGCTGACATGTTTTCTATAGAAATCTTAAAAATTCTTGATGAGAAGCACATTAGTTTGTGATGTTTTAGATGTTTTAGTGACACTCTTTAACCAAATTTATAGTTCAGGCGTATTACCAAATGAGTTGTTAACGTCGATTTTTATTTGTCTCCCAAAAAGGAAAACGCAAGAGAATGCAGCGATTACCGCACCATAAGCTTGATGTCTCATGTGCTAAACTTATTATTAAAAGTCATCCATAACCGAATATATCACAAACTGGACGTAGAAGTTAATGATACACAATTTGGTTTTCGCAAAGGCCTATGAACACGTGAAGCTCTTTTTTCACTTAATATAAAAGATACAAAGATGCCTGGATGTCAATCAAGATATATACGCATGTTTTATTGACTATGGTTAAGCATTTGATGGAGTACGACATGAACAATTAATATGAATGTACTGAAATCAAAGAAGGTTGAAAAAAGCTCTTGAGGGTGAAACAGCTGGAATAAAGGTAAATGGAATTCTCATTAACAATATTACATATGCGGACGATACTATGATATTAGCCGAAAATATTGATAATCTTCAGACTGTTGTCCAGAATAGCGGAGTATCGAAAAGAATACGGTGTAACAATTAACCTCAAGAAGAAGAGATTTATAAGAATATCTAAAACTTAAAGAAATAACGAGAATCTTCTAATAAACGGAACTAACATCGACCAAGTGGACAAATATGCATATCTAGGAACAATGATTAACTCCACAAATGAGTAAATTCATGTGATCAAAATCAGAATCAAAAAGGTTAAAGAAAATTTCAACAAAATGAGAAAAGTGCTATGTACAAGAGATTTAAATTTGGAAATAAGAGTTAGTTTGGCGAAATGTTATGTTTTTTCGACGTTGTTTTATGGAATGGAATCTTGGACCTTGAATGCGACATTAATGAAAAAACTAGAATCATTCGAGTTGTGGGTGTAAAGAAGAATTCTAAAAATATCGTGCACAGAATACGTCACAAAGAGGTTCTGAGAAGGATGAATAAAATAATAGAAATTTAAATACAATTAAAACAAGAAAGTTGGAATATCTTGGACATATTACACCTGGAGAGAAATACAACTTGCTCCAATTATACAGGGAATGGTCCAAGGAAAGAGAAGGATGTCCAATGAAGGAAGAAGACTCAACTGTAACCCTTACGTTCACGCTGATGCCCCCTGTAAACCGAGCAAACCTACGGCAGAGGTTTGCGGTAATCAACCTGGGTGAAAAGTTGGGTCAGAACTGACGAGAGCGGGTGAAATGGTCATCCGAAAAGAGGATTTAGCGTTGGTCGAACTATCTAACTGTGTAAAAAACCCAAGTTATAAAAGCTACAAAGAACTCGAAAACGAAATAAGAACACATATTTGAAAATTTGCACGTGGAATGTAAGAAGCCTTTGTCAACTTGGAGCAACAGATCTACTCATACAAGAAATGCATAGAGCCAAAGCAGACATCATTGCTTTACAGCTGATGAGATGAACTGACTCAAGAATTCTGGAAAAAAAAACTACAATAGTAGTGTGAAAAGTTTCTTGCTATCAAAAAGAAAAAAGTTTAGCTTGGTCTACCTCTCCTACTCTTAGTGGTCCATCTCACCTGCACAGTGGAGGACAGATAGACCCATGGCATGCATTATATATTTTTTAGGTTTAAGAATTATTATTTTTAACTTTTACTTTTATCAAAACAAATACCAATTTTACGTTTTATTTACAATTTTTTTAGATTCGGATGTTTATTTAATACAGATACAGGTTTGAGTTTTCTAAAATGTGGTCCATCTGTCCTTCCTTTTCCCTACGTTTTGCGTAAGCAACACTCCTATTAAAAACATCGATGACATTAGCTTGCTCATCTAGTTGATGTAATGCATAAAAAGAAAACCTAATGGAAATTATATATGACATGCTGTTCAACATTTAAAAAAATGGATTTCATATTTTTTTCTGAAATTCAACGACATGCGATATAATAAATTTATTACATATAATTACGCTAAATACTGTATTTAAATAAAATTTACCGAACAAACTCCTGACTTTTTATCACCAGCATATATTAAGAGTTCACTATCCGACTCTGTAACAGAAACTGTGGTTTCCTTCAAAATACTTGATAATGGTCCATTTTCCTAAAAATGAATTTTCTAAATTACTTTTATAACAAGTTTTTTACTTTATATTTATAACAAGTATTTGAACTCTAACCAACTTTGCAATATTTATTGATTATTTTCATAGTATTGTTAAAATTAATTCTGATAAATTATTTTTATATTTTACTTAGACATTTTTCTGTAGCTACTTGCTAGTTATAATCAATTTAAGAATATATAAGTTTAATTAATATCCTAATCACGGTGCTACAGTCCTAAAAGGGTCCCGGTGATTCATGATATTACAAATTAAGTGGTGTATTCGCTTTTTGAATTTTCGGTACTCCATAAACATGAGGTGTCTTACTGTTATGAGGTGTAATTAATTTGCTTTGATAATCTTTTAAAGAATCCCTAAACTTAACAAAATTTCTATATATCCTGTTTGTCAAAATCTTCGTTGGATCCATTGTTAACTTGGTATAAGGTCTGTTTATTATTAGGTCTTTAATTTTGTCCTCATATTGAATTTTTTGCATTATCACAGTTGCATTTCACTTATCCGCTGGTAGAATAATTACGGAGTCATCATTTTTTTTTTAATTCTTACGGCTTTTATGTTCTCTTTGCTTATGTTTTGTTCAATTTTATTAGACTTTTCAAATTCAATTTTATATTGTACTTTATATTCTTCGTTTTCGTGAGTTGTTATTTAATGATGATAATGATGTCTAATGTTGGAAAAGATGGATGAGTAACAGTAAATTTTAGACCTTCTAACGGTATTAAATTCTTCGTTGCCTTTAACTGTCTATTTGATATATTGGCAACTATTGCTAATATGTCATTATTTCTATTCGCTCCGTGCGTGACTGATGCGACACCTATTGCCTTTATCTGACAGTTTTGGACCTCCCAATTTGAGGTTAAGCATATGTATGTTAAATACATACGAAATTGACAATTATTAATAATTAGTTTTTTAATTATATTTTTTCAGTTTATGTACAACATAAATGTAGTATTAAAAATTGGGTTTCTAAAAATTTATCATATTAATTTATCTTTTCAACCGCAAACAGAAAAGAAAGGGAAAAATCTAGTACTGGCACATGCAGATTTTTATGTAGAATACCATGTAGTTAAAAACAATAATAGTAAAAGTTATGATATAAAAGCTAAAGTCATCAGGCAGGCTGCAGTTAGCTTGAAGCCTTATGAAATATCGTTTAAGGTAAATTATTTAAATTGCATAAAAATGAAATTATGTGATATTTACTTTTCCATATTAATAGCACGAATCCATCTTTTTCTTTTCTCTAATTTATATGTAATCTTTGAAAACCTATAAAAACTACACTCACTAGTTTTGCTATTATTAGCACAATTAAATACGCAACATGTATTTGCATCCATTTTTAATAAAATTTATGCGTAAAAGATAGGTCTAATTTTGTCATATTTCGCCGCTACGTACGCTAGCATCGTTTCAAGGTACAATTTGTCAAACATATGAAGAAGTTTGAAAATCTTACTTCTAATCGCTACGCTCACCTGATGCGCACTAAATTTTATCGGAAATATACCAGTCGAAGTCAACAATTCAACGTGTAAAGTTCGGTCGGTACAGTCTGCGGCAGAGTTTTCTTAAAGGACAGTGAGTCCCAGTGACGTAAAATGGAATTTAAATCAAAATTAAATCGAAAAGTTTTGTCCGGTCAAAGCCTAGAAATTATAGTAAATGTTATGCATTTTATGCAACAAGAAGCAAGGGACAACTTACCTCTAATAGACTTAAAACAAGTGCAAAAACGTGTTATAAGAGCAACAGGTGTAAGCTTATCCGCCATAAAAGCTATTTCAAAGGAAATGAAGTGCATCGAAGATGGTACTGCATCAACATTTAGTAGGTACTTCAAATAAAAAAAGAAATAAGTCGGCTTTAAAATCTAAGTTGGATAAGTGCGACAAAGAATTGTTTCGTCGATTTATTATTAATTTTTATACTACCGAAAAACAAGTTCTAACTTTACGACATACAGTACATAGAGTACTAGAGTATATAGAAAATTTGCTACTGAGTACAACTACAATGGTTCGCGTGAATCATTGAGAAAATTAATAAGGGGTATAGGGTTTCGTTGGAGAAAAAAAAAACTAATAAAAACTTTTAATGGAAAAACCGTAAATCCAGTTGAGACGTAACTTTCTTCGATATATTAAAAAATACCGAGAAGAGAAGCATCCTATCATATACATGGACGAAACCTACATTCATTCTTCCCATACTCACTCGAAAAGTTCATTCCAAAGATAATTCCAATGAGAGATTACGTGCTCCGATTTCAAAAGGCTAGAGACTGATAATAGTGCATGCAAGTGGTGTAAACGGTTTTGTGAAAAATGCTTATTTGAAATTTAAATTAAAAACAGGTGACTACTACAGTAAAATGAATTACGAAAATTATAAAAAAAATTCTTCAGGAAATGCTTATTCTAAATCTTCCTCCACGTAGTGTACGAATTATTGACAATGCATCTTATCACAACGTGTAAGTTGAAAAGTGTCCTAATATGAGTTCAACGAAAAATGTAATGAAAGAGTGGCTAAGACAACGCAATCTGCCTTTTTCAGAAGATATGTTAAAAGTATATTTTTACAGCATTGTACAAATCCATAAACCTAGATTTAAAGTATATGAAATTGGCAGAATACTGGGTAATAGTGGTCATTAGGTATTACGGTTGCCTACGTATCATCCAGATCTCAACCACATAGAATTAGTATGGGCAGCTCTTAAGAAATACGTGGCTGATAAAAACGTTGACTTTAAGTTTAGTTCTGTAGATCTTTTTTGCCATGAATTTTTTCAAACATCTTTAAATGAAGTGTGGAAAAAACGGTGTGAACACGCTAACAGTTTCGAACAGTTTTTTAGGGAAAAATAACCTGTTATGCATTTTCCTGTTTATGTACAGCTAGTAGTTATATTTTAATCCGATTTACTATTTTTGTTAGAACTAAGCCAGAATTTTACTTTAAAATTATCTTCCATAGATCTTCCATGTGACAATAACTTCGCTGACGATAACTTCTAGAACAATACTAAACAACAGTGATGACAGTCTGTTCCCTATTGCACCAATTCGCTGACTTCAAACTTATCTGTTTCCTTTTCGGTTATTTAGACTCTATTCTCTGGTTTTCGGAATGTGAATTTTATCATTTCTATTAATTTTTCGGTTATCCCCATTTCACGTAGTGCTATGTATATTTATTCCCATTTTACTCTGTTAAAAGCTTGTTTAAAGTCAATAAATAGGGCTACTGTAGCTGTCACACATTCGTGTCTTTAAATGGGTAGCTTATGTTATAAATATACTGCAAGTATTATATATGCAACATTTAGTATTACTCTTCTCCTATACTGCCGTCGTAAGAGAGAGTACCGTAACTGCAAAATCTTAGTTTTGAGACAACATTAAAAACATGTTTTTTTTTTCTATATTGTCCTAGCTTGTGTTATAACGACTTTTAAAATATGCTATATCTAGAAATTTTGGGATAAAAAAACTGTTGGAAATAATTTTTAAACTGTAAATGTTTTCCTTATTGTTAAAAATACACTTAAGGCGTTTAAAATGACCATAGAATAGGTAAAAGAAATAATAAATAAGACTTACTAACAATTAGTTTAATTTAACTATCTAGACGACCGGTTTTGCTTTCTACAATATGCAAAACATCTTCAGGTCTCGATACAAAGTTAATTAAATGCTGAAATAATAAAACCCATATTAGGGTGTTGTCTTATTCTCTCCGTGCGTGACCATGGTAGGGGTACCTTGAAACGATGCCAGCGTGCGTAGCGGCGAAATATGACAAAATTGGACCTCTCTTTTCGCATAAATTTCATCAAAAATGTGTGCAAATATATGTTGCGTATTTAATTGTGCTAATAATAGCAAAAATAGTGAGTGTAGTTTTTATAGGTTCCCAAAGATTGCATATAAATTAGAGAAAAGAAAAAGATGGATTCGTGCTATTAATATTGTTGGAAAACCAACTAATTCTTTAACTGTTTCAATTTAACCTGGCGCCGCCTCTGTTCTTGAATATCACATGTTAGCCCTTATTAGTGGAAAGAGCCAGACATCGTCGGCGTATTGGACGCCTCCCATACACCCGCTCACCTTGTCCCTTTGCCCAAACTAGTCACATATTACATATAAGCATAAATTCAGTCGAATTAAGTAGCTCAAGTCAAAAAGTCGCTAAAGAAGTTATTCTCTCTCCTCGTCTCTCTCTCTCTCTCTCTCTCTCTCTCTCTCTCTCTTTCTCTCTCTCCCTCTCACCCGTATCACACAACAAGATATATTACAAGTTATATTATAAGTTAGTTTAGTGTTGCAAAGTGTATATATGTAAAGTATTGTGCAAGTACAATAAAGCGAAGATAAAAAGGTGTAAGTGTATAATTTCACCCCCACAAGAGTGATAAAACGAATCAGCAACCCACGCTTAAATCCTATAACAAATCAAGACAGGCCACCATGAGGGTTTTGGTGCTCTCAGGGAACGTTGGAAATAACCCCATCGTTTCCCTTTAAATATGAAAAGTAAATATCACATAATTTCATTTTTATACAATTGAAATAGGAAAAATTTAAATAATTTACCTTAAATGATATTTCATAAGGCTTTAAGCTAACTGCGGAGTGCCTGATAACTTTTGCTTTTATATAATAACTTTTGCTATTATTGATTTTAATTATATGCTCTTTCACGTGCAAAACTTGATTTATGAGTACTAGATTTTTCCCTTTCTTTTCCGTTTGGGATTGAAAAGATATATTATGATGAATTTTGAGAAACCCAGTTTTTAATACTACATTTATTTTGTACATAAACTAAAAAAATATAAGTAAAAAACTAATTATTAATAATTGTCAATTTCGCATGTATGCAACAATGTCAAACATATGTCATATGTTTAACCTGAAAATTGGGAGGTCCAAAACTGTCAGATGAAGGCAGTAGGTGTCTCGTCAGTCACGCACGGAGCGAATAAAGATAAACAAAGATAAATGATATAAATTACAGTAATTATGCCAATATTACATGTCTGTGGTGTTTCAAAATAAATAAACTGTTCAAGCAGACAAGGTAAGACCCACAACTTGGTACAAAATAGTCTATTGAATTGTAATAAATTAGTAAATAAATAAAACATTAAGGTACAATTGTGTGGGTGTGCAATTCTTTCAACTTGTAATTATCAAATTTCTTTGATAAAGTTCTATTGATTTACATATGGCAAATAATTGTAAAGTTCAGTATATAAAATTATTAAAATTAAAACAATTAAGGACACTTCGGGAAACCAGAAAACACTTAAAAAGGACTTAAAAAGGGCGAAACATACATTAAATTTAAAAAGGGGCTACTTAAATGCACTACATCTTTGACTTGGAGACAATGAGTTTTTTTGTTATCTATTAGATTTTAGAGGTAAATTTGACAAGCTATTGTAGGTTAAATTAGAACACATAAATAATTTACAGTCCTTTGAAATGTGGTGTTACAGGAGGATGCTTAGAATATTATGGGCACAAAAGAAAACTAACTCGGAAGTATTGCGAGAAATGGGCAAAGAATACGAAATAATAAACACAGTAAAAATAAGAAAGTTACAATATCTGGGACACGTAATGAGGAGACAGCGATATGAACTGCTAAGGCTGATAATACAGGGAAAGATAAGAAGTGAAAGGAGTATAGGAAGAAGGAGAGTGTCATGATTGAAGAAATTATGGGAATGGTTTGTATGCAACTTTATAGAACTTTTCAGAGCAGTAGTAGATAAAGTAAAGATAGTAATAATGATATCCAACCTCCGATTGGGAGGTGGCACTTAAAGAAGAAGAAGAAGGATTGTAATGTTCATGTGCTAAGTAGGATGTAAAAAATTGATATATTGAATAAACCGATGCCCTAACCACCTATGCAAAAAAAAAACAATTAGAAAACTAAACTTAATAGTAGCTTTAACACATACATCCCCCCGTTAGTGGATTTTCTATTACAGAATTTTAAAGATATTTAAAGAAAATATGTAATAGTTGCTGTAATTGTGTTGCTCCGTTGCTAGGGATATAAATTACTCTGTCAACAAATGTTACAGCAATTCAGTAGCTCGAATCAAGTGTTTAAGCAAACGAGTACAGGTTTTGATGCTCCAAAAATAGATATTTCTAATAATGTTAATTGTAAAATTTCAGTTGTTTTTAATCCTTGATGTGTCTGAATTTGTAAATTTTATTGAATAAAAAAAGTTAAAACATTTTATCTACTCTTGCTGTTAAAGTGTCACTTTATCTACCCTTGCGGTTAAAGTGATACTTTATCTACTCAAAACAGTTCTTATAGCAACACTTTAACATTAGCTATGGAAAAAAGAGATTACAGAGTAGTATCTCGAACTGACTTTAAACTCAAATGCTAAAAATATTAAAGCTGCTAAGTTATGTAATTAATGAATATTTAATCACTTTATGAAATTATGAATATTTTTTGCACTGTATTTACCTTAATATTTCCCCAGCCTGCAACTACAAGTGTTGTGTCTACTGGTACTTTAGTATCTTGTTCTGGTAGAAGTATGGTTTTAATCTTGTCGGAGAACTTCACTTTTTCTGCTAACTAACATTAAATAAAAATTAAATTAACACAAGTTAATGCAAATATTATTAATACTATGGATTTTCCGCAAAGTTCCATGGATTTGAATGCAACTTTGTGCAATCGATTTGTAAAAATCTCTTACTTTGTGACCGCATGCGATTTAAATTGCATTTTTTGCTATTCAAATTTATTTAACTTAGATATAACTCGATAAATATAGATAAAAATAAATCCAATTTTGTTAGTTATATGTTTTTAAGGTAGCTGTACAAGAATATGATACCGATAAAAGCCTTCGAATAAAATATGCTTTCATTTCATCTGTTGACATTGTATCAACTTTGTCTTCTTTTGTATGTATTAAAACACCGAAGAATATTTTTAATGTTATTCTATTTCCTATCGTTCATGTTCTTCTTCCTATGCCGTCCCCATTAACGGAGGTTGGCGACCACATTTTTAAAAGCTTCTCTGTCTTTTGCAACGTGGAATAATTCGTCTACAGTCATGTTTGTCCAGTCTCGAATATTTCGCAGCCATGACTTCCTTTTTCTACCTATTCCCTTTTTGCCATCGACTCTACCCTGCATGATGACCTGCAGAAGACTATATTTATTATTTCTTAGTATGTGTCCAAGGTATGCAGTCTTGCGTACTTTTATCGTTCTCAACAATTTTTTGACTCGACCCATTCTTCTCAGCACTTCCTCATTGGTGACCCTGGCAGTCCATGGGATTCTCAACATTCTCCGGTATATCCAAAGTTCAAAGGCTTCAATCTTTTTAACTATTTGCGCTTTTAGTGTCCATGTTTCAACCCCGTACAATAATTGCGACCAGACGTAACATTCAACAAACCTCAGTCTCAGCGCAATATTCAGATTTTTGTCACAGAACAATTGTTTGAATTTTAAGAATGCTGCCCTTGCCATTTCTATTCGTATCTGGATCTCTTGGTCTGGATCTAATTCTGTGTTGATGTAAGCAGAGTATGGGTCGGTTGGGCCAGACAGCCAGACAGACATGGCGCCAATGTCGGTAAGCATTGGATCTGCATTACCGGCCGACTTAGCCAAGACCGGAACAGATTAGCCAAGACCCGAACCATATGTCAAATTATTTGTCACGTCTTAACTCTTCTTCTTTTCCATCTGTCAAATCTTCTTCTGTCAGCGTCAACTGTCAATTCATTTTAATGCAATTCTTCTTTTTTATAGTGTCTAAAAGCCTTAATATAAAGAGACGTATTTAGCGAATAGATTATAACGATATAGAAAAATCGAAGATAGCAGTATAGCGAAAGGGCATATCACCGTTGTTACTGGATCGATTGGAGCGTGTGACGCATTAAATGAAAGGGGATAGCGAATATATTAAGATAGAAAAACAGACACTGCCAAAAGAGCACTACACAGTATCTTCGTTATTAATATAACGTATAGTTACATATAAGAGAGAGAGATAGGGCACCAAGGATGAAAAATACATGTACAAGGTAAATTTGATTTTATTGACACAGTTCTATTTGGCGCATATCAAACCTGTAATGTTTCAATGCTGAAAGTTAACCGTAAAGAGTTGCACACTATATTTTATCTACGTCAAACATGAATTAAAAACTTATATTGAACATAGGTCTCCGGTAAGAATATCTGTTGGTCGTAGACGGTTCTTTGATAGCCATCAGGCAACAATTTCCCCTGATCATGTTTATAAAACATACGGAATGCACTGTATATACTAACCCAAGTCGACAACATACTTTGCAGATATGGATTACGATCAACTTATAGGTTTATGTACAACTCCCTTCGTAAAGGTACACATTCGTGCATCCGTGCGGGATAAAGTCGACCGTCCGTTTTATACTCCAAGAGGACCACCACATATTCAGCTCTAAAGTGTAGCAGGTATATTTTGAGATAGAAGATTCAAATTATATAGGGTAATTGGCAACGCTAAAAGCTTATGATAAAGTATAAAAAGTGCTATAAAGATCTAATAGTGGACATATCGTTGTAAAGAGAAAAAGCGAGGAGAATAATTAGAAAAAATAAAAAAAGTAACACAATATCATATAGTGTCTAAAAGTTTAATTTGACGAGGTAGGTGACATATTACTGTGAAGAAAAAGAGAATGACGGTAATATTTTTTGGATCAAAGAAAATATTGAAGGTGTTGATTTCCAAACCACCCAGGAGGTACAACACGTGGCTCGTTGGTGTTTTTTTTTTTTAACGTGGACACCGTCCCAAAAGGCCTACAACCACTAAATTTTGTCAGAGGAATCATTTAAATCTGATGTTGATTCAAGATAAACTACCACACATTAGACGAGCAAAACTGTAATGTTATAAAAATACAAAAAAATATATTTTTTTGATACATTTTAAAAATATAGGAAAGTGGTTCAATAGGCATCTTTTATTAACATTTTATACTACATTTTATCAAAGAACAAGAGCACATAATACGAGGGTTAAATGAAAGGCTCATTAACCACTCTATGACCCGTATCGAATATCTTTTAGTGACCTTAACTGAACATCTTTTTAAACTATATAAAACTATATGGTTCAGCAGGTATCTTTTTATTGATGCGTCAGGTATCTTTTATTAACATTATTTATATTACATTTTATCAAAATACAATGAGACCTGTGACGGATATCTTTTAATGACCTTAACTGAACATCTTTTAAGGTATATAAAACTGTATGATTCAGTAGGTATCTTTTATTGATTCGTCGGGCATCTTTTTTATTAACATTATTTATATTATATTTATTAAAGTGTAACTGTAGTTAATACTAAGGTTAAATGAGCCGTTCATTATCTAATACATGATCCGTATTGGATGTCTTTTAGTGGCCTTGACTGAACATCTTTTGACGATCTGACAAAGTATCTTTTTAGGTAGATAGGACAAACGACAACTCACTACAGCTTTATAGCAACCCACCTTTTCGGTGTGGCAGACAATCTTTGTATCATAAAATAGAGGAAAACAAATTACGCTGCTGAAAACAAAAAAACAAAAGTAATATATTAATAAAAAATCTTTAAACATAGCGTGTTCTATATTTTATACTTTGAGTTTTTTAAAGCCGAAAGGTATGGATGTAAAATCATCAAAAAATTTTCTCTTTGTTGAATTTGGTTTATATTTTTTTCCAAGAGTTTTCGTAACAACTAGATGCTCTGCTGTTCGTCTGATTTGTTTAGTTAGTATAGAGACAGAATCGGACTTCTGAAGTACCATCTTTTTAATGGTATCGAAATTTACTGCTTTAGAAGCCTCATAATTTATGGAAAAACCTTTAACTTTACAACAAATATGTTCTTTACCATCAGGAAGAGTGTATTTATATGCGTAATTTTTAGGCCCTCCAGAAACGAACTCTGAAATATGTCCACCTTTTAGCTCGTCAGTAAGATCACCGATACATTCCCCAGTAAGCAGGTCAGAAAATGCCGCTCTGGAAACATAAATACATGAATCTGTATCGTAATACAAAGCCCTGTCCTCAGCAATCTCCAGATAAGAATATAGTTTGAGACGAGCCAAAGCTGTGACATATGAAGCAAGTACCACATTTACTGTGGGAGACATAGAAGCTGCTTCCTCCACATATTCCCACGTAACAATCAGTGTTTCCTCATTTACAGGAACAACTGTGTTAACATGAATGGAAGGATTGACCAGCATAGAGAAGAATACTCCAGGTTTGTTGACAATCGCGGTTTTAGGAAGATTTTCTCGCTGCGCAAACTTTCCCCAGAACGAATTCAACATCAGCTTAGCCAAATTCCTAAGACCAGGATTCTCCGTTATTTCGGAAAATTCCAGTCTAACATCTTCCCTCTGGAGAAACTCCGCGATGTATCGATTCTTTTCCTCGTCCGACACACATCCGCGGGGCCACCCTGAAGCCTGCTGTTTGATTTTGATGAATTTGTTCATCATATCGGAGAACAAACCTTTTTCAGTGTTCGACAGCTGAATTGTGTCATAACTCCATATCTCATATATCTCTAGCATCTTATATCCTTTCGATAACGCTTTGACCACCTCTTCCGCAACCCACGTTCCAGTGAGAGCCCTCTCTTCGTCAGAATGCTCACATTCTCCTTGAATAAAGTCCTCACCACATTTACGACATAACACAAACATACACTTACTGTTCATCTTTGCAGGAAGAACAGGGTGATAAAGATTAGTAGGCGGTAATATCTTACACTTAATTAAACCAGACACAGCGGAAATATCAACACCTTGACATTCATCCCCGACATACACTTTAGGGTGATTAGTTGGAAACCTCCCCCTTTTGCAGACCCAGGGATAAAGTGAGCAAACATCGACGTACTTGATCTTTTCACCCTCCTTACACTTGTAATATTCCACGGTATTGCCTGTACGACCACCATACAGCGCATCTCTAGGATTTAGAGGAAGAGTTGTCATGAGGGAGTGACCATCGGTATATGATTTTATTTCGGCCGTCAACATTTTGCGGAAAGCACACTCCCACATTTCAACCAGTTCATATCCCAGAGAACGCAAATGTTGGTTTTTGGCAACAGTTTTATCATAACGATTCTCCATACAATCTGAAGGATCATCATGAAGAGGAGATGTTCTGTTTTCAGGGTAACAAGTAGGGCAACCGTGATAATAACAACCTTGGAATTCAAAAATGATGTTTTCGTAAAGACCATCTACCCTGCAATTTCCAATAAGAGATTCCAAACCCCTGGCTGCGTGATGAATTGAAATACCCCTCTGTTTCTCTTCCCACAACAACCACTGCAACGCTATTTTAGAGTGATTATCTTTAAAACGATAGCCGCCCTTAGGAATGAGACCTATAGTGTTTGGCTGTAGAAAGTTGCGCCTGAATACTTTATTGCAGGTGGAAGCAACAGTTGTAGCTTCCATGAAAGGACAAACATTTGACGTTTCGATCAATTGATTCCTAAAAATAAGACAAGCCTGAGTCAGAATTTCAACATC